GTAAAAATGCTGACAGCTCTGCCCTGTGAGGATGGCATATTGTATATTTCAGAAGATGCTTTTTATCTCACAGAAACAGCAAAATTATCATATGACAGAGCAGTTGCCATGGCAATTACACATTTTATGTCAAACAGCAAAATGCAGAAAGGTCTAAAACTCAGGTAAAACTCAGGCACGGTTTCTACTACCAAGGGGTGACTTGAATTTCTGTCACCCACCACTGAAAAACCCCCTTTTCCTTATTTCATGTAGCACACAGAATAGACACAATGCATGAGACATAGCTGACACAGTCAGGCAAAGAGGAAACTGGGAAGTAAAAAAATTAGTAAGTACGTGGAATTTACACAGAAATGACATTGACTAATGCATTTAGCTTGTTCTCAGTGCAAGAGAAAAAAAAAACCAAAATAAAACCGTAAGAGCACAAAGAGAGAAAAAGACATATTAATTATTATTATTATCATTACTGACAAGTACGCCAAAGCTCTACATGCAAAGCACTCTCACCAGTCAATAAGGAGTTTTTCCCAAGTAGGAACTGAGATACAACCACATGTACTTTCCAACCACTCAGGCCAACAGCTAAGGAGGAGGGATCCCCTGCGTGTTACAGGAGCTCCGCACCTGCTGAGTTCACCCATGTGACAGTCAGACCACCACACCATGCTTATTCTCCCCCGCAGAGTCCTTTCCCAGGTATCCATGTCCCACCTGGTCTCTACAGACCTGTGCTCTGTAGGAAGTGCAAACTGCCAGCTCCTTACTCCACCCCAACACCACAGAGCTGCATTCATGTGCAAGTCAGAGCAAGAGCAGGGGGATGTTGCTCTCACCAACATCAGTGTGACCTCGTAATGAGACTCTCGCAACAGCTGCCCTTTATGCTGTTTCAGCCTTCCCCTACGAAATCCCATCACCATACAAGAGCAGAGTGGTATATTTCCTCAAGAAATGAGGGGGTGGTTTTGACCCCTCTTTGAACTGAAGACCCAAAGAGTTGGAAACCTTTGGTTTTCCTCTGCAGGTGCCGTGGAAATGTTCTTCACCTCATGCATGCAGCAGTCTGCTAGCTGAGCACAACCCTGGAGCAGCAGAAGGTGAATCCTCCTCCAAGCTCCCAGGAGAGCCAGAGGCAGCTGCTATCCCGTGCCCTCACAGCCATCCTCACCTCCAGCTCCGGACGGGTTAAACTAGTGCAAAACTATGCCTGCAGATCCAGCCATATGAGGAGACAATACTGACGCGGGCCTGAACAACCACAGGGGCATGGCAAAATGGCCTGCAAGGAACGATAACTTTTCCTTCCTCCACCCTCTGTTCTCTAAAAGTGCCCGCAGCAAATGCTGTACTGATGTGACGTACAAACTCACCCTGGGGGAAGGCTAGTACAGTGCCCGTGCAACCAGCTTACCCTGTGGTTAAGCTCTCTGCTCACAGGGTTTGACCCAGAGAAATATTTCCGAACACTCAGTCCTCCCCTCAAAAAGCCTGACAGTCGAAACAAATTTAAACAGATTGTCTTTCTCCTCTTCCAAGGAGCAAAAGCTCAAGCACTTTGGGTTGTTTATGCTAAGCCTGATTTTATAACTTCCCAGATTTTTCTGGGCCTCTTAGCTTCTAAATAATTTGTTGCAGCTACGTCAGCATTGCAGATACCGGCCAGCCAAAAAGGAGAAGTCAGTCAGTGATGCTCAGAGCCAGGGGTGAACCACGCCGGTGCCCAGCAACCAGCACGCACAGGCAGCCGTCAGGGACCACCAGCCATCCTATCTGCCCCGTGCAGGTGAGACTGTGCCTCCTCACTGACGAAATCCCCCTGGCACCGCCTTACTCCTCACCAAATACATATTCCCACTGGGCTCACCAAATCTATTTCATGGAGACAGGTGTGTTGTGGTTTTGCTCAGCGGAGGGCAGGTCTCTAAAGCCTTTGCTGTGTGCCAGGAGGAGCTGCCCTCCACTGCTGGCATCCAGGTCTATTCCTCTAAGACACAGAAAAAAAAAAAAAAAAAAAAAAAAAAAAAAAAAAAAAAAAATTTACACATTTTCACTGCCAAACCCTGTGCCCAGTGGTGGGGTCCAGACACAGTCCTCTGGATAGCTCTCCACACACTGGTGATGTCCCATCCCTTGACCTCCACTGTGACTGAAGGACACCTGTGAGTGTCCTTCTGTTGTACCACTGGTACTGTTGGTACCACAGTGAAAGAGAGAAGCATCAAGCAATTAACCCTCAGTTATATGGGTATCAATCCAACAGCATAGTTTGCCAAAAAATTTGCTCTTTGATGGGCGCCAGAGCCACACCTTCAAGAGCCCATCTGAGAAACATAAAATGCGCATAACGTGTCCCCAGAGGTAATTATTCCAACAGCTGCCTGCAAGATCTTTATTAAGGACACTACAAAGAGGGGATTTGGTAAAAAAAAACCAAAACAAGACAGTGTGACAACTGGTCTAGAAAACTGATAGATTTGTCATCTAAACCCATGGAGACAGCTCTCCCTTTTAAGGCTGAATGCCGTTCCTTGTGAATTACACTGAGAAAGAGCAGCGGAGAGCCAGTGTGGCACAGCATTTAACAGCAGAAGTGCTAGGCTCTATTTGGTCAGGACTTTCAAAGGGAGCAAGTGAATGGCAAGACCTTTATTTTGCTATCAAGCAGCTCCCTGAAGTGAAAGAGGAAAGGCAATTTCTACTCTAGTTTCACCAAATACAATAGAAAATTCATTCAGATCTAGTTTTGTCATCTCCTACCTCTTGCTTTTGCCTGTCTATGATACATCCCTTCAGGGCTTAAATTTCTCACCAGTCAACATGACTGAACAACTTCCAAGTATCAAAAAGCTTGTAACCTTGGCAAACCCCAAAAACTTGTTATTTTTGATGGAGCAAGAAAACACTCTACAAGTCCATCCTCCTTTCATGTTGTCTCACTGCCAAATCCAAAACTCTGTTTCTTGTTTCCAAATTCAAAAAGATGAGCTACTCGATTCCTTTTGCTGTACGGTTTGATCCAAAATGCACACTTGGTTGCCTGATTGTGAATGGTCAGATGAAATTATTTTCTGATCCCCAGGCACAGCCCAAATTCTAAATATGTATTCCCCCTGCATTTAATGAGATACTTCAAATGCTGAACACCTTGTTCAGCTTTTGGCAGAACATAGATGGAGATATGAGATTGTTGCCAGGGAGACTTTCCAAACTCTAGAGTGTAGTTTCACTGATACTGTTTTCTAGCCTACATCCATAGCTGAGGTTGACAAACAACCTCAGCCCTTCCATTTTGGGGGACAAAAAGGCTTGGTACAGTAAAGCAGATTTGGTGTCCAAGCTCTGAGATCAAGATGGAAATACTACTCCTTGGTAGATTCCCAACGTACCATGTAGTCTGTGCCCATCAGGAGAACCAAACAAATGCCTTCCCCTCTCTCCCCACCTAAGTGTGAGAACTATTCTGTTGAATACTTGAAACTGAATACTATATTGTATTATATGAATACTATACTATACTTGAATATTCAAGTTGAATACTTGAAACTCCAACGTTATGGCTGTTTTCATGTAGTTTCCTCCTCCTCTGGACTGTATTTTGGGAGAGTTGACTGGAGCTGTATGATCAAGAATCACTGCTCCAGGTCTGACATATCATGACTACTGGATTTCCATACAGCCAGTGTTTAACAGCACATGACAATATTATCCACAAGTTTGTTATAACATTCCTGGCAGCTATCTTAATGACAATTACCCACAGATATTTTCAGTGTCTGACTAAAAGAATGGCACAATCCTGAAGAAGAAAGGCCTTCTTTGACTAGCAATTATACACATAACCTAATCACTTAGCTAGTAATAGATTATTTTTTTAGACACACATATATGTCACATGTATTTTTAATGACCTAGACATTATTTTTCACTAATTATATTTTAGATAGATCATAAAAGATTTTGCCCCTTTGTGACACAGTCTGTTTCCCCCCTTTTCCTTATGAAATTAAGCTCTCATTTTATAATCCACAGCAAGATCAAATATCGCATTCTCTTAACACTCCATTAGCCTTGTGAACCCTTCCACATATATCAGAGCAGTTACATTGAGCTACAGAATAGGCAAACACAATCATTTACAAATAAAGTAGCATTAGTTGCAGCCATGAATTAATAATGGAAACCCTAGACTCTTTTACCTTCACTGCCACCAAGATCTTGTCCTGCTCGGGACAGAGGTTATAGCATTCAGCCAGAAAGACTTTCCCAAAGGCTCCTTCTCCCAGTTCTCTTTTGAGAACAATATTGTGGCGCTTGATGTGCTGCACAACTGTGAAAAGAAGACAAAACAGAGGTCAGAAGTGAGCTGGAAGGCGGGGATGGGATGGGGTTCATGCTTAGCGCCACATGGAGACAGGTTTGCCTGTAGAGTGGGGCACATATCGTGGAAGGAATCAAAGTGCCCTTGTGTCATTCATTAGTGCTTTGTCCAAAAAGACCGGGTTAATATATTTATATTTGGAGAGTAGTGCATTTGCCGGATAAGAAGACATGGAATTAAGATTCACCTGGGAAAAGGCCATTTATCATGTTAGGATGACTGCTGTAGAGCATACGTAACAGTCAATGCTGCTTTTTTTAAAACATGAAGACAAAGAATCAGAAAACAAACCAAACCTTTCTCACATCACTTCTATTTTTGTACCTCTAACGATACATTAACTCTCTCATCCAAAGACAAAAACTTTTAAAATTAACCTAATCCAACCAAACAAAATGTGCCCTCTTTCAACTAAATCTGACTTATTCTCTGGTTCTCTTACCACTTGTTCAACTCTCTGTGCTTTACTGCAGTTAAAATAAGATAGAAATTTCATTCTCGCAAACATGATTTACACTATTGCTCTGAAGTAAAAGAAATAAAAGATGGACAAAGGTTTTAGACAGCATCATGGACAGAGCCTTAGTTGAACTGCTGCCCAGAATCAATTGATTCAGACATTAAAGTCCTTGAGCATTTTTCTTCAACTCATTTTACATTTTCCTTTCAGCACAAACTTCCATTAAAAGATTTAATATTTAAAAGACTCTACCAAATTTTGTAGAATACATTATCAATTTGCAATGTTCAAGCTAAATAAAGCAGCTGTAAGGGCAGTTTAACTGGCCAAGTCAACCGGCTTGACAGCTTGTGTTGCTGAAATTGTACAAAACAGTCACCATCTACTGATGAATTTAACCTCAGTGCATTTAGCTGCTTTGCAAACATTGAAATTTAGCCCTGCCTGGACAAAGCCTATTTGCAGCTTAAAACCTGAACAGAGTGAAGTAAAGAGCAGTGCAGAGGCATCAGGCTGGCTTCTGCAAAGGCATGAATCTCACTTCAGCTCCTTAACTGCAGGGACCAGGGGCTGAACCCTGCCAATAATTTAGGATATATTCAGGTGCAGACCAACCCGTGCCTCCGTGCTTGGCCACACGCCTGCTCCAAACTGGGTGACCACTTATGCAGCACTTTCCTCCATTACTAAAAGATGGAAAATGGTGTGCTGCTGGTAACAGCAATGGGGAGAAGTAGCACAGCATGTCCCCACTGCTGTCACCAGCATTTGGAGAAAGGGTCCATGGTCTACAAGAGAAAAATACATGTGTCGCACACCCTGAGCCTACAGCGATGCAACCTGAGTGCACTGCATGTCCACATCTATATATGCAGTGGGTATGGGTATATATCCACTACTGGATATATATATACATCCACTGCATACCCACTTTGTATCCATGTGTGTGCAGGCGGGGGGAGCTTGGTGCTGGAGCAAACCAGGAGCGAGAGATGTCCCCAGGCGCCTCCATCATGAGTCTACCAGGTGGGCAGCGCACCCGAGGAAAGGACCTCCACCAGACCCAGCTGGCACCTGCCAGAAACCCCCAGGCTGGCAGGAAAGCAGGACCACCATGCCCTGGGAGCAGAGTGACAAAAGCCAGCTTCTCCCCATGCCATGCCAGACCCACCAGGGCTTGCTGCTGTCCCCGCAGCTGGCGGCTGCAGGGGGGACATTGCCTGCCCACCGTCCTTGACGCCAGGCCCCCGGCAGAGGCCACGCGACCCATTAATAGCCGATTGCACATAAAATGAGACTGAAAGGTACCAATGTTTTCCACTCTTGTCAAACTCTGTCCAAGCGCAAGGTTAAGTTTTATTGCGGTGATGCATTTATATGGGTATGCTTTGTTTGGCCAGCAACCCGACCGGCTCCCCTGCAGTCAGTAGGAATTCGCTTTTTATTTTCATTTCCTCCTCAGCACTGTCTTTTCAAGTAAAGCACAAAATGCAGTCAGCACAAGACAGGCCTGAATCAAAACACACCTCTTCCCCATGGAAGCCAGCTAACAGGCATCCCTGGCCCCTGCTAATACTGGGCACAAGGCAGACAGGCGGGGAGGACCGCTGCCCCGGCACACTGCCTGAGCTCGGAAGCCTGGCGCGCCTCGTGACCTGTGCTTTAAAAGTGCTTACTAATAAATGAGTACTCCCTCCTACCCCTTGCCAAACCTGCCATTCAGCCCTGCCTCTTGGGGAACTCTTCTGTTTCTCTCTGTTTGACCAGTATCTCCAGGAGGATGCCTCTCTTCCTTCCCTAGAGAGAGAAGTTCAGCTCCACGTTGCCAGTATCACCATCTTAAAGTGTCCACAAAAGCCACAGACAGCGAGTAGGGTTGAGATCCTGTCCTACTGGCATCAGCAGCAAAACTCCAGCAGAGGCACTTTTTCACTTGGTTCTCTCCACAGCTGCCAAAGACCTGGTGATGAACACTGGTGACTCTCTGAATTTTGTGTGGGTCCTCTCCATTTTGAACCCAGCACACTCCCAATGTTGGCCCTAGCAGTATGGAGTTTTTTTGTGAAGTTCCTGGAGGACTTCACAAACAATAGAGTAAAAATAAATAAGAAACGTATCTAGTACTTCTCTGTAGTACACTTGCAGCTGCTGCTGAATGCTCTTATATAAACCAAGCATTTGAATAAACAACCCATCCCATAAGCCAAGCTGTTAAAACTGAAACACAGCAAACCACAGAAGAGATCTGCACAGAATATATTTGCAACTTGTCACGCTCTATGCATCCCTGCTACCTTTCTGAGCTGCACTGAGTTACTGAACAAATAAAAAATGACAGTGAATGTGACTAAATGGGCAGAGATTAAATAATCTAAGTAAATCAAACACATATGATGTGAAGGAAATATGAGCTAAGGAAAAAATCCGTTTAGCACGCTCAGGGCCCCAGCCATAATGACACCGTCTTCAGTGGGAGGAGATTCCAGCAGGAGATACACTGAAAAATTCAGGTCAAAATCTGCTTTCAGTTAATATCAGGATAAAGCCAATTATCTCTATTGAAGTCTAAGAGATTATCCTGGATTTACATTGAAGAAACAAAGCAGAATTTGGCCAAAGAGGTAGTATAACTGAATTACCAAAGAAGTGGTCTCATAACATTGTCTCACAGGCAAAGATACACAAACATTCAGAGGGTGGCTATGTATTTTTGTCCTTTTGACTCTAAATAGTGATTGCCTTTGAGCTGCCATTTGTACTTTTAAAAGCACATCATCCCTGGTTTAAAAGATCTCGTTTGGTTACTGTAAAAAATACATTACATTAAGCTAAAAGCTAAGTTAAGTTGAAACAAGAGAAAAATGAAACAAAATATGAAGTGAGATAGAGCAAACTAAACAAGGGCAAATGCTGAAAGAGGCTGTGGTGTTAAATAATAATCACACAGCCATGCCAACAGAAGCAGGGTCTTCCATGGATGACTGCAGGGAACTGGCTGGCAACAGGGAGCACAACTGCAGGAAAGGGCCCCTTTTCTCATCTCGAGGTCTCAGAAACACCCCACAAACAGAGCTGGACTTCTAGGTATTTCACACACTAACAAACACGTTGGTACTGGAAATAAGGCATTAAAGCCTTATCCTGCAAACACTATCTGCAGGCATGGGATGGCACTCCCCAGGTAACCTACCTTTGGTGGTGAGGCTGAACAGAGAGGGTCACACCATGTTCTGGAGTGGGTCCGAGCAAAACGGGCAACTCGGGATCACCTTACCACATTGAATTCACTGAGTTGGATGTGACTGATTCCAGCCACAGACAACAGGACATATATATATATATATATATATGTATAAGTTAAAACAGTGTTCCTGCATGTAATTAAAAGGTGAAATCTGTGACAGGGTGAAAGTGTTTTTCCCTTGGTCACAAACAATAGGTCTGAAAATTTTACTACCACGTGGCCACTACACCACCTAAGCTAATCTTCTACACAGCACTGAGCATAGTATTGAGTTAAATGACTAGATTGCCTCCAGAAAGCAGCTGTGCTAGTCTTGATTTGAAAATCTGAGCTATTCACTTGCCCTAATGTGTAACTGTTTTCATTGCTAATAAAAATGCTTGCCTTTTTCTTTGTCTCTTAATTTTTAGTTTGTCTGGCTTGCATCTCCCTCCCTTGGGAGAGTTACTCTGCAAGCTTGAGCAGCCTTTTAACGTCTGGTATTAAATATACATAATCAACACTCTTCTTGCTCTTCTTGGTAAGGCAAAGAGATGGAAGCCCCTCCCAGTAAAACATTTTCCCCAGTTTGCCAGCCATTTTCACGGCTCTTCTCTGGAAAAATTTTCAACAACCTTTTAAAAGAAGTTGTTTCCAGTTGTTTTTCCCAACTGGAAGCCATACTCTTGTATCATTCTCCACAAGGCTGTGATAAAAACATAGAATCAGCTCCCTATATCTCTGCACGTCCAAAGATCACGAGTCCTTTTAAGGCTGGGTTTCCTAAAGAGCACGAAAATTGCATAGTTATGTGGTATGCATGAGTGTGTCTCACCTTGAACACTTCACACAATTACAATACCACAGGTGCTGTAAGTTTCAGATATGAGAACAGAAGAGCAGAGGAGAGATCTGTCCTTATGGAGAGGCTGCAACATGGACTCACTGCTTGATGTACAGTAACAGCCACAGCAGACAGGGCCCATAATCACTGCTCATTAAACTACCAATACTGGAAGATCCTGTTGCATTGCATGCCCACTTAAATAATTTGCTGAGTCTGTTTTCTAGGATAGTGTTCAAAATTTTACTAGCCATACACATGTGGAACACTGCTGATGAAATGTGTTGTGCCAGGACTCTGAGAGAGAATGAGGATCTTCAAGGTGCCAAGTAACCAGGCAAGGTAGTATTATAAACATATTTACAGTTGCATTAAGAAAAAAGCAGCAGCAAAAAAGTCTCAGCTTGTGATGTGACATGAGG